TATGCTGAAATTGGGTTTTTCTCGATTTAGTTATGACGGTTTGAAGTTTTGAACTAGTTTTGGGTAAAGGTTGACCAATTTGTTGACTTTTTAGATTTGATGATTTTATGGAATTTTTACATTTTTTAATAAATATTAGGCCTTATTTTGAGTTGAATGCAACTGAGTTTGATTGATTTGGATTTTTCTTGAATTAGTTATGGATTTTCAATGATTGGGGTATTTAATGAATTATTGAAAATTGTATAATTAAGGTCCTTATTATGTTTTTGCTTCCAATGAATTCCTAACTTCTTGAAATCAGATCCAAAGGTCAGGGATGACCTAAAGAGGGATTTCCAAGTGTTTTGAAATTTATTTGAATTTTTAATTATTATTAATGAATTAAAAAAATTAAATATTGAATTTCACTTAAAATTAAATTAAACTTTAATCTGCTGTCTAATCAATTTGGTTTTATTTTACATTGATTAAGGATTTAATTATTGTCAATTGGAGGTCTTATTTGTATTTTTTGGGTTTAATATTGATTTATTACATTTTCTGGAAGGTTTAGGTGATTAAGGATTAATTTAGGTTTAATGATGCTTGGGCTTTGAGTTTTGATTTTGAATCATTGTAACTTTGTTTTATGAGTGATTAGAATTGATTGAGACTGATTTTGAGATCAATTAATGTCAAATCAAATTGATTGAGATTGATTTTATGAGTTTTATTTAATTTATTTGAATTTATTGAAATCGAGGAAAGGAGAGAATTCTTAATCTACTAGTTATTTTGAGATCAATTAATGTCAAATCAAAGTATATTCATTAAAGGGTTGATGACACTAGTTTTCTAAGTTTGAGTTCAATCCCAAGAGGGATGTAAGTGTGGTTCTTCCTAAATTGACTGAATTAGCTAAGACCAAGTCCTTAATTATTGTCCTTAATGTCACTAAGTTGTAGGATTGAAATCAATGTCTACTAACCCTTTGGACACTGATTATAAATACATCAAAGCAAACAATGAACAAAATAAAGTTCCATAATGCTCTATGGAATGAAAGTAGTAGATTATTATAGTTATTGGTCACTTAATGACCTATAAACTTTAACAATCTACTATAGAGGAATAGAGGCATCAAATTAGAATGACATGAATTTGAGACATATATGTATATTTCCATATACACATCAATATCCCTAAGTCAAGGATCAACCTAATTTGACATAGTGATCATGTATAGTTTATTAGTTGATTATACTAAATTAAGCATGGTATTGAAAGTAAATTTTAACTATGCTATACATGATCAAAGTCTAATCCTATTTTCAGTGAAAAAAAGACTTCACACTGGATCCATAGAACCCTAGCATGCCATGATTGGATTTAGTTTGGGTTATTCATGAATTTCCAAAAATCTAAATCAAGATTTGACCTAGATCTTTGTAAATCCATAAACTGAATGAAATTGCATAAAATGGCCTTAAGAAAATTACAGGAGATCAACCTTAGGCTCTATAACATTTTTGCCAAATTTCAGCTCAATATAATATGTATATTTTTATTTAAAAATAAAATTATATTTTATGTATAATTGAAATTATGAAAAATAATTTTTTATTATTTTTATAATAAACTACTTAAAAATACGAAAGAAACGAGCCTAAGAACTTAAAAATTGAATAGGAAATGAAATTCCAGTGAATTTTTGAAGTTCTGAGGATTTTCTGGAAATTATTTTAGGGATTTAAATACTAGTCAAACGGTGGCGGCGACTAGGACACGCGGAAGGGATTGGGTTCGGCCACGCGGACGGCGGCAGTCAGGAGTGACCCGCCACTAAACCAGCTCAGCAGGACTTTGAGCTGTCGGATCTACCAGCGCGCGGATCGAACGGCTGAGACTCAACCCGCGGGATCAAATTCGATCCAGGATGATCGGACGGTGAATCTAATTCCCGCTGTTTATATCTACGGTGCAGATCTGGTTGGGCAAATATTCAGATAACCACGATTTCAAGGGATTGGAACAGACTTCGAATCCGAACCAAACACAGCCGTTGATCTCAAAAGAGTAGATCCAACGGCTGAGGGATTGTCTTCCTCCTCCATCCAAACCGAAAACCCTAAGTCTATTTTTCGTTTCATTTTCGTAAAATAGCAGACGAAGAATGTTAAAATTTTAAACAGAGATATGATATAGTGTAAGAAAGAGTGGGAGATCGATTTTATGCCATTTTATGTAATCTTTGGTGAGTTATTTAAGAACCTATGAAAATGCCTAGGGTTTAGGATTTCTCACCGAGAGATGGATTGATTGGATTGAATTTAACACGGATGAACTTGTAGATTGTCCATGTGTTGATGTCCTTCAGGCTTCGAGCTTGGATGACCACTGGAAAGAGAGTTGAGGGAGTTTGGACGAGTACCCTCTCGGTTCAAGCTTGATCTCGTCGCCGGCAAGCTTCAAACGCCGGGGAACAATGTGGGAATGGAGGTCAAGCTCAGAGGAGTTGAAACGAAACTCAAGGGAGCTCTGGGGAATGACTAGAAAGAGAGATAGCTCAGAATGAAACTCTACCGTGCCTCTTGCCCTATTCAACCTTTGGAGCCAAAAGCAACGGCTGGGATGCATCAGAGGGAATGCTAGGATGGTTGACACCTGGACTTGGCCGTTAGAGGAGCAGGGGAAGTGGCTAGCCAGGTGAAAATGACATGGGGTCGTTCTCAAGTGGAGGGGACCACTAGGTGGGTGGCTCGGGTCCAGGGCTACACCAACTGCTGGGGGAGGTTGAGCTAGCTACAGGGAAACTTCTGGAGTCAATTTCAGAGGCTGGAAGGGTTTGGTTTGAGCTAGCTACAGCTTGATGAGTCGGATTGACCAAGGGAGCTCATTTGAGCTCTAGGTTGACCCTGTGACCATTCAAAAAGAGTCAATCCAGCTGAGGTGGCATTTAGACCTTGATTAGAGTGCATTCCAGTAGATGAATGGGCCAGGTTTGGACTAGGTTCATTGGGTTAGAGAGTTTGACAATAGAAATAGTCCTTTAAGCCTTGAGTTGACTGGTTTGACCAGTCAACTCAGCCAAGGGCTGGTGAGGTGGACCTCAAACAAATTTTGGAGATTAGTGAGGATATTTAGAAAGAGGTTTGAGGCTTGGGAGGTAGAGCTTGAGATGGGATTGACCACATTTGATCCTTTTATTGCTTTGTTGACCATGTTGACTGGTCAATAATCAAATGGCTGCTTATGTGGCACTGAGGAAGTGACCTTGGGTTGATTCAATGTGGTTTCAGGGTTCAAATGGGTTATTTGGATCAAATGACACATTTGAACCTTTAAAGAGTCATTGAGTCAAACCTGGTTGACTTGGTCAACCAGGTGGGCCTAAGGTTTGGAAATGGGTTTGATCAACTTGAAATGACATTTATAGGCTATTGGATGTGGTCCCAAAGTCTGGGGAGATCAATTCAATCAAATCACCTATTTAGATTCTAAAGGGCCTCTTAGGTCAACCCTGTTGACTTGGTCAACCAGGTTGACCCAGGTGTTGGGAATGGATCCAACAGATTTGGTTTGATATTTAAAACTTATTGGAGGTGGTTGCATTCAGTTTGGAGCTCATTTGGTTAAAATGACCATTTACACCCCTTAGGGGCATTTTGGTCATTTTGGTCATTTTGGCCTCATGACCACTGGGGGCTGAAATGAGTCCAAAAAAAAATGCAGTTTATTGATCAACATGTCAGGTTTGATGGTCTGGAAGTGATTGCCGGCTTTGATGAAGACTTTAGGGTCAGGATCAACTGGATGACAGGTCCAGTGGCATAGGCTGTAAATATTTGAAGGTTTTACAGCCTTTAGATTTTGATTTAGTTTCTGAGATTAGAGACCTCAGAATGGGTTCAAATTTGGAGAGTTGGCTCTAGAGACATGTACCATCAGTATGAAACTAACAGAGCCTGAATCAGAGTCTATTTGACTGGGTTTTGGGTTTCTGAAAAATTCACTGGAAAAGGTCTCCAGGACTAAGCCTTAGGACCTAAGATCTGGATCTGGAATTGGATTTATTTAATTTTAGATTGATTTGATTTTGAGATAGTTTTAGGATCCCATTAGAGACCTCATACAAAAATGAGGTCAACAAATGGACCCCCAACATATGTGATGAACTCGAAGAGTAAATCACATGTGTTGGCGTTGACCGAAGTAGATCAATGCAGTTTAAGAGTTGGAAACTTGATTGAAAGATTGATTGATCAAATATGAAGGTGGACCTAAATGAGAGATTGATTCTCAAAGAGGTGAGATTTGAAACCTTAAATGAGATATTGATTCTCAAAGAAGGTGGGTATTGGAGCGGATAAGCAAGCATCAGGACCTGACCGATAGATCGATTATCGGAAAGGTTGATTTTAAACCCTAACTGGAAGATCGATTTCCAATAAAATCCAAAATCAAAACGGGAGATCGATTCCCAAATAAGCAGGCATCAGGACCGAACCGATAGATAGATTATCGGAAAGGTTAATTTTAAACCTTAACTGGAAGATTTTTCAAGAAAAAGCCAAAATCGAAACGGGAGATCGATTCCCGAATAAGCAGGCATCAGGACCCAACCGATAGAACGATTATCGGAAAGGTTGATTTTAAACCTTAACTGGAAGATCGATTTCCAGAAAAAGCCAAAATCGAACGAGAGATCGATTCCTGAATAAGCCTGCATTAGGAACAAACTGTTTGAGTTATACCAGGAATTTAAAGTATTTTGTTAAAAAAATATCAACACCGGAAATTTCAAATTTTAAGATTTTATTTCCTCGCTATGTTTACTGAATACATCAACTGTCATAATATTTCTTAAGATATCGTCCATTGATAGGCAACATAGGATGATTGCCTTTACAATCTATAAGCTGATAAGATCCTCCTTGATAGACTTTCTCCACTACAAAAGGGCCTTTCCAAGTTGGTTCGAATTTTCCTCCTATCTTTCGATGAGATAGGATAGGTCTTCAAAGAACTAAAACCAAGTCTCCTACTTGAAAAGTTCTGGGATGAACTAATTTGTCGTGAGCTTGTATCATCTTAGCTTTGTATAACTTGAGGTTCTGTTGAGCCTGTAAACGCTTCTCTTCTAAACCTTCGAGTTCTTCTAATCCGAGTCTTGCATTCTGTTCTGTATTGATCTGGTAATTCACTACAACTCTGAGCGAGGGCAGTTGGACTTCTAAAGGAATGACTGCTTCTGAACTAAAAACTAAAGCAAATGTCGTAGATTGAGTCAGAGTTCTATATGTGGTACGATATGCCCATAAAGCTTCAACCAACTTCTCATGCCATTGACGCTTATTGTCATCTAAAGTTTTCTTTAAGATCTGAATCAAAGTCTTATTGAAGGCCTCCGCCAATCCATTTGCCCGAGGGTAATAGATGGTTGAATATCTCCAATCGATGTTATGTCGTTTGGAAAAGCTTTTAATTTTAGTATTCCTGAATGAACGACCGTTATCTAAGATATTCCAATGAGGGACACCGAATCGGTACACGACATTCTCTTTGAAAAATTTTAGAACTTGCTGAGCTTTAACTTCTCTCAAAGGAACAGCTTCTGCACATTTGGAAAAATAATCTGTAGCTGCTAGAATGAATCTATGACCTCTGGAGGATGGAGGATCTATCGAACCAATAATGTCGGTGCCCCAGCTTTCAAAAGGCCAAGAAGCAATGGTTGGATGTAAAACATTCGGGGGTTGATGAAGAACTACACCGTGCACCTGGCATTGATGACCGTGACGTGCAATTTTCATACAGTCATCTATCATTGATGGCCAGTAGTATCCCATCCGTTTGATCTTCATTTTCATCTTTGGACCGGATTGGTGTGCACCACATAAACCAGCATGCACTTCTTCTACGATCTTTTGTGCTTCTGATTTATTCAAACACCGCAACCACATTTGGTCAAATGATCTTTTGTTTAGGGTATTGTTAATCAAACTGTAGGATAGTGATCTTCTTTTGATCTTATCTGCTGCTGATTTCTCCTGAGGGAGCTTGTTTTCTTGCAAGTATTCGATGAATGGTTTTCTCCAATCTAAACCTTCGTCGTTTACTGCCGAAACAATTTTCACCTCAGTTGAACATTCTCTGCTTATGTGTTCCAGATCTATAGGAGAAAGGACTTGTCGACCTTGTACTTCTATCGGGATCGAATCTTCTTCGGGGAATGCCAGTGCTTTAGCCAGTTTGGCAAGAGCATCGGCTGTGGAATTTTTTCCTCGAGGAATTCGATACAATGTGACATTCAAAATCTGTTCTAAAAGATGCATGACATACTGATGGTAAGGGACTAAGGTGTTTTTTAATACTTTAAAGATTCTCGCGATCTGATTGATAACAAGCTGTGAATCTCCAAAGATCTTGATTTCTTCGATCCCATTCAAAATAGTCAATTCTAAACCAGTTATCAATGTTTCATATTCAGCTTCGTTATTGGTACGTGATTCTGACAAGTGATAGGAGTAATACATGATACCTCTATCAGGTGTAACGAACACAATACCAATTCCTGCCTGACCGGGCAAAGTTTCCTCTGATTCTCCTTGCTGAATAGAAGCAGCACCGTCAAAATAGAATTCCCAGGTGAACTTCTCATTTTTCTCGAGTTCTATTACTTGTTCATCTGGTAGTTCATCATTTATCGGGAAATCATCCTCAGTAGGATAAGCTGCTAAGAAATCTGCTATTGCCCGTCCTTTGACTGCTCGTAACAGGGTAAATATAATGTCGAATTGCGATAATATCATTGACCAGCGGGCTAGTCTTCCTGATAATGTCGGCCGAGTCATCAAATACTGCAAAGGATTTATTCTGGATATGAGATTTACTTTGTGAGAAAGCATATAGTGCCTTAACTTCTGAGCGGCGAAGATTAAAGCCAGACAATGTTTCTCGATCGGAGGATAATTTACTTCGGTGGGGAGTAAACGTCTACTCAGATAATATAGTGCATTCTCTTTTCCTTCCTCATTATATTGGGCTAATAAGGCGCCAAGAGATTCACTTAAAGCTGTCGTATACAAAATCAGAGGTTTCCCTGGTATAGGAGCTGCAAACACTAGAGGATTCATAAAATACTGTTTCATGCTGTCGAAGGCCTTCTGGCAGTTCTAATCCCATCTGAACGGAGCATCTTTCTTACATAATGCCGCGAATGGTTGGCATCTACCTGAAAGATTTGATATAAACCTCCTAAGATATGCTAGTCGGCCTTGAAAAGATCTCAATTGAGTAAGTGTTTTAGGAGGTGGCATTTCCAGTATTGCTTTGATCTTAGTCGGATCAATTTTGATTCCACGGTGTCGAACCACTCTGAAGTGACGCCGAAAGCACATTTAAAAGGGTTCATTTTCAGATCATACTGTCGTATTATCTGAAATATAATTCTCAAATCATATAAATGATCGTTCCTTTCAACACTCTTAACGACTAGATCATCGACATAACACTCCACTTGATTATGGATGAGTTCGTCAAAAATCCTCGTCATTTCCCTCTGATAAGTCGCTCCCGCATTCTTTAGACCGAAAGGCATGACTTTGTAACAGTAAACTCCTATCGGTGTTTGAAATGCGGTATACTTCTCATCTTCGGGATCCATCCTAATTTGATTATATCCGGATGAGCCGTCCATAAAGGAGAATATCGCGTGAGAGGAAGCGATATCTACCATGAGTTCCGGTATATGAAGTGGGAACTCATCTTTAGGACATGCTTTGTTTAGATCTATGAAATCAATACAAACACGTATCTGACCGTTCTTCTTTTTAACTGGAACAACGCTAGCTAACCAGGTTGGATAGTTTTCCTCCCTAATAAATCCCGCATCAATTAGTTTCTTAACTTCAGCGACGACCTACTGCTCAATGTCGAGTCGCATTCATCGAGGTGCTTGTTTTACTGGGAATGTTTTTGGTTGAATTTCTAGTTTATGAACTGCTATATCTGGAGATAATCCTGGCATTTCTTCATAGCTCCAAGCAAAATAATCTTTGAATTCAGATAAAAGTTGAATCATGTCATTTGCCTCATCCTCATTCAACAAAGAACTGATGAAAATCAGACGAGGGTCTTGTTCAGTGCCCAGGTTTATTTCTCTGAGAACATCGATCGTAGATCTAATTTCTTCTTCAAGCTCTGGAGGTGCATCTCGAATTTGAAAGTCATCGATACCATCTGAAGTTTCTAAGCAGAGTTCGTTAAAAGATTTAACGTTCACTGAAAGGATACTATCAGATTCAAAATTATTAGAAATTACTAAACAATATTCATCGTCGTCAAACGAACATAGAGTTGCAAAGCCAATACCATGTTTTGAAAGTTGTTTATGGTATTTTCTATTCCACAGATGTTCAAATTGTTGGGCTTCGCCTCTAGTCCATTTCAACGTCGTTAAACCTTGTTTAGCAAATCTGTTTACATAATTCGAATACCAATCAAAAGGTAGCTCTATTATCTCGTCCATAAAAGGATCATCAAGGGTTACATCGATTTCTGGGGGTTTGCTGGTAGAAGGTTTGAAATTGTTGGCTTTGGTTTCATGGTTTAGAGGGAGAGAAGCTTTCACTTCCAACCTCTTTACATCACTCTGGGACAAAGGAGTTAGGGTAATATTTTCCACATACTTTTTTAACTTCTCCATGGTAGATAAATTTGAATTATCTTCCCTAGTGACTTGGACCCTGTCCTCATCACTATCAATTTCTATAGAAATCTCAAATTTTGGCTGATTTAGGAATTTCCTATATTCTACAACCTGTGGGTCTTTCTCAAGCATATATGATTCGTCCTCCGAACTGGATTCCAAATCAATATGTATTGCAGGTTCCCTTATTTGGATGCCTTGAGTTACATTCTCACGCGTTTCTCTATTTTGCCATCCTCGACCTCTTCCTCTAGACCATTGTGTCATTCTACCACCTCTTTGTGAGGGAGGAGCAGGTGACCAACGGACATCGTGTTCAAGGTCGGGATGCTGTACTTTTTCTTTTTCTCTTTCCTTTTCTTTCTCTTTTTCTTTTTCTTTCTTTTTTTTTCACTTCTTTTATTTCTACTTCACCCAATTTGAGATTTTTTGAGAATGCTGTCTGCTTCTTAGGCAGATAGTATGAAGCATCTTCATATATTCTGACTTCGTGAATTGAAATTTTGAGCGCCATGATGTTGACTGATGCACCTGGATCAACGAGCACACGGGATACTTTGAAATTATCGATGGTGACGGAGATGTATAGTGGACGATTATGATCTGCTATTCCTAATAACAAATCTTCATCTGAAAATGTGACACCAGGAACTTCTTTGAAATATAACGCTTCTTCATCACACTGTGTTGAAGCTAATTGAGCCATACAAATCTCTGGATCGAGTAAAGCTTTAACTAAAGCTTCCCTCATTTCTTTGGAAAGAACCAGAGCATCATATATGCTCAATTTCGCTGGCAGTTTTCTAAGATGCGCTAATACGTTGTAATCGACCTTTGAAATCTCAGTATTCTCTAATTCTGGCTCTTGAACTAGTTGTGGTTGATTAGCAATTTCAGAGTTATCTTTAATTTTCTTCTCCTTCCCAGTAGATGCCAGTCGTGGGGGTAAAATTTTACCACTACGAAGATTGACTTGCACTACTTCTTCGGATGAAGCATTATCAGTGGTCTTTATCGGTTGATCATTGGTTGATGTCTGGGTTTCTTCTGGCGGTGCATCTGAATCTGATAGTTCTAATTCTTTACTAATAGGATCACCCTCAACATCAAGAATAGGGGAGTCACTATCGTAATAGAATTGAAACTGTTCATCTGTTTCATTTGTATTTATGTCTTGGGAGTTATTTTCATTGTTATTAATGTTATGATCGGGGTATTCATCAGTAGAAACAAACATAATGTATGCGGAATCCATTTTCATTGCTTTCTTAGCCCCGGGAGGGACAAAATAAAAGTCATACAGAGTTAAGGATTTGAGCGACACATGCTCGCCATTTTCAGAAATAACTAATTTATCAGAACCTAATTCTGCCTCCTTCTTCTGGTCCTTCTCCGGGACTAGTGGAGCTTGATCAGCTTCAACTTCTTTGGACTCAGCCTTATTCTTCTTCTGCTGACGAACTACTGGATCAATCGGGATGGGATTTTGAACTCTCAGAGGTTCCTGGAAAGATGAACGATATAATTTATTAAAGAATTTCTTAGAAGATTGAGGCAAAGCTATATCCCATTTATCATCAGATTTTGAAATAGGAGGTTCAGAAGGCTCACCAAATATACACTTGGCAGAACCCTGACTAGGGTCTACCAAGTATTCCTTGGGTATCACGACTCTACCGTCCTTATGATTTCTGTCCAGCCACTCTTTGAAGGTTATGCAATCCTCTAACTCATGACCTGACATCCGATGATACGGACAAAAGTTTGGTTGCCCTGCCTTACCTGCTTCTTCGAGTCTCTTGGATTCAGGTAATTTAAATCCCGGCTTTTTTACCAGACTTTTGAACATCTTCTTGATTGCTTCTCGTTTGAAAGGATAGACCTTTTTCATAAAGAATTCGAACTTCTCTTTCTATTGTTCTTGAGTCAGATATGGCTGAGGTCTGATTTGTTGATCGACCTGAGGTCTATTATATTGTTGATATTGGGGAGGTCGATTAGGATTTTCTGTCTGAATCTGCATCGGCTGTTTCCCTTTATCTACTGCAGACACTGTCCCTGACTTCTTTTCTAGCACCTTCTGAGGTTTCAACTTCTTCATTTCTAGAGAAGTTGAATCTTTGGCGAACGGAAGTTGGGAAACTTCCTCCTGAAGGTTAGAAGCTTTGTTTAATAACTTCTCAAAGGTTTTAATGGTAAAACCCTTGAGCAAGAAAGCAACTGGGCCATGAATATTTTTCAGGAGGATCTCTATAGCGTGCTGCTCTTGTAGTTGCGGCTCACATCTCATACTGAGATTTCTCCATCTCAGAATATAATCCACCAGACTTTCTCCTAGCTTATGGGTTTCCACTACCAAATCACCAACAGTAATGTGATGCTTTGCACCACCAAATCTTTTGACGAACATTGCTTCCAAGTCATTGAAGGTATGGCCGACCCATTAGGCAGTTCTGCATACCAATCAAATGTAATCCCAGATAGACTACTAACAAATTGTCTGAACAATAGAGCGTCACTACTGCCTGCATTACAACAACTAGCTCTGAATTGAGCTAGATGTTGTTTAGGGTTTCCCGTACCATCAAAATTTTTGAAAGAAGGAGGGACAAATCCTTTCGGATAGGGAACCGAATCAAATTCTTCTGGATAAGGCCTACCCTTTGAAATGGATGATGTAATGTTAGCTTTAGCTAGCGCATCTTTGACCTGTTGTTCGACCATCTGTTTGAAATCTACTGATTATATCGACGGCGGTTCTACTCTTATCGATTTATGTACAAGTTTCTCAGGTTCTTCAATCCTGACTGCCTTATTCTTGACATTCAGCTGTACTGATTCCTCATGAGATGATTGGACTTGTTCTTGAGGAGTAGGTGGATTTTTACCTTGCATGACCGAAATCATTGTCATCATTTCCTCAAGCTTCTTTTCCATTATGAGTATTTGCTCATCTTACTAACTCAGCTGTTCTCGAAGATGATGAGTAGAATCTGCAGTATCATCTTCATCATCCTCGGCATCAGCTGGTCCTGCTTCCCCTTTACCCTTTTCCTTTTCTTTCTGCAAAGAAGAACGAGTGTCAACCATATTGACACTTCCGAACATTTCTTGATCTGTATTTCCTTCTTTTCCTTCTTCTTCATCAATCTGGCAAATACTCTACTTCAAATGATTGACCATCTCTTCTATAGTTTTTCCTCCCACATCGTGTGGGTTGACAGGAGTGTATTCTCTGGACGGGGAAGGTTCTATAATGAACTTTCCTCTTCTCACACTTTCTTCTGCATGTCTTTCTTCTTCTTCATCAACACAGTAGGGGTCGGAGTCATCTTGGGCCGCCAAACCCTCTCTTGGTTAGATAATGAGGAAGAATGATTTGGAAACTTCAGTCTCCTCCTAATGAAACCAGAAGAATGTTCGCTACCCTGGTGACGCTGA